GTTTTTTCTTTTGTCAATAAAACTATCAAGTCTTTGCGCAAAGAGTTTCAAGCACTGTTACTACCTGGCTCAAAAGCCGCAACACAAAAAAGGAGATGAATACCAGAGTGTTAGTGAGAAGAGGTTTTAATCCTAAAATGCATAGCAGGTTGGCTAACATGGCTGCTACCACCCAGGCATGGCTAGTAAGGCTTCCTGAAAGCCTGCCTCAGATATGCTTTTACCAACACCTGCCTAGGTGGGGCCAATTAGCACCAGCTGAACATACTGAGGAGATTAGGGGATGCAGAGGGACGTAACACCTCCTCCCTCAAAAGGGTTCCTCTAGGACCCCTAATTTTTTTTGAAAAGCCCCTCTGGACCTTGATCCCTCCAAAATAAGCTTGAGCCAAAGCACAAACTTGAGTACTTTATTACCAGCTCTCCTAACACAACTAAATATTCATATGGTCTTAGTTGGCATTTTTAAACATGTCATCTTATCTGCACGATATGGCTTCTGTCAGTCTGCCCCAGGGCAGCTGTGGCTACAACTGTAGCTTCCCTCCATCATTGTGTGAATGTGAGAGTGAATGAATAGTGGAATTGTAAAGTGCTTTGGGTGCCTAGAAAAGCACTATATAAATGCAATCCATTATTATTATTATTAACACTATCACTCACCCACTTAAAAGTAAAACAAACTGATAGTGATGGTCTGCTTGAAGCTGACGCTCCGGTGCGTGTGTCAAAAAAATCAACACACTGCTTCAGAAGCTCTGTGTCGAAGCTTGATTCGTTTGGCCAGAGTCACGTGATCAGTGACGTCCGAAGCTTCGTTTAGAACGTGACTGCTTCGGTGTCTCGTTCAATGGTTTATAAGGAAGTGAATCTTTCACAGGATTTGTGGAGCGTTTTGATGGTGACACATAGCAAACCACTGATATTTCTACTGAGAGACATGGAGCCAGCGAGGAATAGAGGAGTTTCTATTGTGTGGGAGAATTTTGAGTTCATTTTGGTCAATCGGGTGGGTTTTCCAGCTTTGTGTTCTTGTTTTTGTATTTGCTTTGTGCGTTTTTATTTTATCTGAAAACGGGAAAAACTTAAGATGTCAACAAATCTGCTTTTCATAATATAAATATAATTAAATAACTTTAGAAAGACTTCTATTTGACTCGTTACATTTAATGTTATAGAAAGATATATTTAATTTATTAAATAATCTTAAACTGTTAGTCTGCAAAATGTGCAGCAATTTAATGTATTTAATCTCTTTAGCTGATAGTTTGTGGGGCCCAGGTAGACTGTATAACTGCATCTCTACCAGTTTCTCTGCACTCCAGCCTCCTCTGTTCCATGTGAAGGGATTTTCCTTAATGCAGGAGAAATTAGGAGCTGCTCTTTCTTTTTGGCTTACGTTTTACTTTATTGACCAACGCCTGAGTTTTGTTTGTTTTCTTAAATGGTCATAGTGGCTTGTCTGTCTCTTTTAGTTAGTATAAATTGAAACTTTAATAAAACTCTTTAATTTAACCCTTTTGCCTCCTTTTTCTGACCCGGTCACTTTTTGTTACTTCCCCCTCCCCGCCTAGACCCCTCAGGGGAACGTAACACAGCTTCACAAAAACAACCTTGAGAGCAAACTGCTGCTGAAGCGTAACCATCACCTCACTGAGTGAAGAAATGGCACATTTTTGTTAAATATGCAGAAATAGACACACACCCAAACAATTTATGGTAAACTGGGCTGCCTTGTATGTACATATGTTCAAGATGAATGGTTCTAATGTTTTCTGAGGCTGCTGTGCCATTTGGAGCAAAAATGAATATGAAGTTAACAGCATATCTTGTCACTGGAAATTGTTTGAACTGTTTATATATTTGTATTATTTACTGTCGGTATTAGTGAAAAAAAAAAAAAGCTTCATGTTGTGAAAAACTGAAATCTGGAAATTAGTGCCACGCGTTGCTTAAAGGATCCACTTGCAGGACTCCTGGGTAACATTCAAACAGAGATGTTTATTACAGATCTTCACCAAGTGAATGTACAGACAGTGCAAGGTTAGTGCTATATACAAGACGTGAGGGGCAGGGGTCCAGGGCTCCAGGGAAAACGGGGAAATCACACACGTGCTCAGAACAGCCTCTCTCCACTCCGCTAGCGACCTGTCACACCTTCCACACGGGGAAACACGGGGACGGGTCCGGGGAATCTAGGAACAAAGGAACACGTTAAGTCTGAGGCAGAGGCACGGCAAACTTGAGCTAGGTGTGTACTGACAAGAGCCTTCACAACAATCCAGCGTTGAACAGCTGATCTCCTTCTCATATACCGGCTGGTCTGATGAGGCCCAGGTGTGCACGATCCGGGAAGGCGTGGACCGAGGGCGTGAACCCGCCATGAGTTCTGCCCCGGCAAAACAGGGGAGAGGGAGAGGAAAAAGAGAAGGGGGGCTAGGAGTGGAGAGATTCTGACCAGCGCCTTGCCGATCCCGCAGGTTGTGACAATAGTTTAAAAATAAATAAATAAATCTGACGTTTCAAACAGTTACTCGCTACTTGAGTAGTCTTTTTTTACTCTTGAGTAACTTTTTTGACAACTACTTTTCAGTTTTACTTGAGTAATAATATTTAAAAGTAATGCTACTCTTGAGTACAATTTCTGGATACTCGACCCACCTCTGGTGAATGCCTTGTAGTGGAATTTGCTGAAAACAGCAGAAGTAGTAAAACTGTGTGCTGAAGGGAGGGGGAAAGAAATCCACTGAAAACTGGTGTAGAAGCTGAAATTTGTATTGAAAACAGTTAAAAAGTTTAAATGTTAAACTGAAAAAAAAAATTGTTACCATAAGCGGGATTTGAACCCGGGCCTCCCGCTCTGAGAACAGCTGCTCATCTCACCAAGCTAAGAACACAGCTCAACCCCACAAACAAAATCAGTGACCACACTGATTATGTGGTCCATTTATTTCAATGGGACCGGAGGGGGAAAAAACAAAAAAACAAAAAAACAAAGCACAAAAACGAATTATCTCAAAAAAGTATAGAAGTTATGAGCACCAAAAGTCATAGTCGGCATTAACAGAAATAGCATAATAGTTTAAAATTTGAACGGTGAAAATCGCACAAAAACTGCGAAAGTAGTTCCATGGCAAAGAAGAAAGAAGCAACTAGAAAAGTTTGCATTTCCTGCGAAAATGCCTTGTAGTGGAATCGGAAAACAGCAGAAGAAGGAGAACAATCTGCTGAAAAACTGATCTAAAAATATATATTAAAAAAAAAAAAAAAAAAAAAAGTATAACAGTTATGAGCACCAAAAGATATAGCAGGCTTCAACTGAAGGAGCTGAAAAATTAGCTGACAAAGTTGAACTTTCTGCAGAAATGAGGTGAATAAACTTAAATTTGTGCTTGAAACAGGTGAAGCAGAACTTTGTGCTGAAAAGAAGTTAAGACACTTAACCTTCTCGGTCATACTATGATTAAGCAAAAATACTACCATTTGGCACCAATACTATGCTTTGGCAGAATTACTATGTTTGAGCACAAATACTATGATTTAGCAGAAATAATATAATTTGGCAGTTTCTAGATCAGTCAACTGTGTGTCTGCTAAGTCATAGTATTTGTGTGAAATCATAGTATTGCTGCTATTGACAGAAATACTATGTTTTAGCCTATATACACTATGACTTGGCTCAAATACTACAATTTAGCAGTAATACTATGATTTGGCTTAAATATTGTGATTTGGGTGAAATACGTTGATTGACCCAGCCCAATTTTTACTGTTTAAGTGTGTGTGTGTGTGTGTGTGTTCACATCATTTATGTTAATGAGAGTGTGGGGAGTGAGTTGGAGGGTGGGGTGGGCTGCTTTTAACTATGTAAAGCACTTTGTGCTACATTTTTTGTATGAAAAGTGCTTTATAAATAAAGATTGATTGTGCTAAAAAAAATAATAAAAATACTTTGCAGTGTCAAATACTATGAATTTGCAGAAATACAATGATTTAGCAGAAACACTGACTCTGTAAAAATACTATGATTTACATGAAATCCTTTGTCTTAGCAGAAAAGCTATAATCTAATCAAGCAAGTTTTAGCAGAATTTATAAAGTTTCTCATTCATTTCAAATGGGACCAAAAAAAAAAAAAAAAAAAAAAACCCCACACAAAACAAAAAACACAACAATCTCCAATAATCGTCCATCTGTGTCAGGGGGAGAAAAATAAAAAAAAATAAATAAAAATTGGATTCAGACTGTTAAATGTTACCATTTGTCATGTCAGTCTTTACTCAGACGGTGGAAGTGAAATCATGGCTCAAATATTTGTTATGAAACCAATTATTTATTTTTACACCAAATTAGTGTTACCTTAGTCATATTTGATGAACATCCCCAGAACATTTAAAAAAAAAAAAAAAAAAAAAAAAAAAAAAGTCTTCAAATCTTAAATTAGCCTAGAAATGTTAATAAATAAATTACACCCAGCATCCTGGACAAGTCTCAATGGAAGCGTTTGTGAGAAGACAATCATGTAATGGCAAAGCTGCAAAAGTAACAGGCTAACAGTAAACCACTAACATTAAACATCTACAATACTACATAAATTTTGTGATGAAAAAACGCCAAATTTTTATTTTTTTCCCCCGTCAAAGAACTTGAGAACTCGCCACCCTTTCTAAATGTGTTTAAGTGTAATATGTCCCATTATTTGTAGTTTTCCCCTTCTGAAGCTCGTTGGCAAAATTGTCTCCCCAGAAGCGCATTGTCTTTTGTGATTTTGTATTCTACCGTTGTATCAGCAGTTCTCCCCATTCGCTAACATTTTCTTACGTTGCATTTGACCTTTCTGGATCAGTTCTGTGAAAAGTAGTGGGGATTACCACAGCAGGTTAAATAAGCATTTAAAAAGTTCTATACAAGATAAAAAATAAAATTAGTAGGAAATTTCTATTCATTTAAAGTAAAAAAAAAAAAAAAAAAAAACACAATTCTTAAAGAAACTTGGGAACCTTCTCTTTGTGGAGAAAAATAGTATAAGCACCACACAGCCACACTTACCAATATTCAACTTTAATGGTAAGCAGGACAGTGTGTGGAGGTTATACCACATTTAATTCCTCAAAGATAAAACAAATTATTTACACTTTAAAATACTTTTAAGATCAAACTCCTGTTACACTAGTCACAGGTGTAGTTTTATGTGTTCTTTCATGAAAGTTACGAGTACTTGAATGTGAGAAGCTTTCCTCACAGTGACTGCACTTATATGGTTTCTCTCCCATGTGGATTTGTCTATGCATGTTAAGGTTACCTGCAGTGGCGAATGATGACCCACACTGGCCACAGAGGTACTTTTTAATGCCACTGTGTATAAGTTCATGTCGTCGTAATTTACTTGGAGTGGGGAAGCCTCTCCCACATTCTTTGCAGTAGTTCATTTTGTGTCCAGTGTGTCTACGTTGATGTAATTTTAAGGTCCTTTCCTGGCTGAAAGGTTTTTTACAAATGTCACAACGAAATGGTTTCCCACCACCACAACGATAGCAGTGTTCAAAACTGGATCCTTCTGGGTTGTTCTGCTTCTAAACAAAGACAAATACATTTAACATAAGTTACACGTTTAAATAAACTTTAAAATAAATTTTGTTTCTATGACGTAGAGGAACAGAAACGAGCGTTGACACCCCAGAAAGAAAAAAAAAAAAAAAATACATACCTCACAGTAACTGCACTTGTGGAGTTTCTTTCTGGTGTGGATCTGATGGTGCATTTTAAGGGACGATGAAAGTTTAAAAGTCTTCTCACACAGTTCACATTTATACGGTCTCTCCTCAGTGTGGGTAAACATGTGTTGTTGTAAGTATCTTTTTTCTGTAAACTGCTTGTCACACTGATCACAGCTGTAAACATCATGTCCCGTGTGAATGCGTTTGTGTCTATTTCTGTTCCCTAAATGGTTGAAAGTTTTCCCACAAATGTCACAGCTGTATGCCTTAATTCCAGAGTGGGTAACTCTATGCCTCCGTAAGCTACCACTTTGAGTAAAATCTTTACCACACTGATCACATCTGTATGGTTTAACTCCACTGTGGATGAACTTGTGGTTTTCCAGGCCTTCTTTCTGAGTAAAACGCTTCCCACAATGATCACAACGGTATGCTGTAATATCACTGTGAGAGACTTTATGCTTTTTTAGGGCACTTTGCTGAGTAAAGGACTTCCCACACAAGTCACATCTAAACTGTTTATATCCCCTGTGGATTAGTTGGTGTCTTTGCAATTTACCAAAGCAAGTAAAACATTTTCCACACAAGTCACAGATGAACAGAATCTCTGCAGTGTGGAAGTCTGTGTGTTTTCTTAGGGACTCCTTTCGAGTAAAAGCTCTCCCACACTCATTGCAGCTGTATTTTCTTCCCCCGTGGGGTTTGTCAGCCTCCTGAGAGGGCTGACATCTTTGCCCATTTCGATCCTGCAGCAACAGAAATACCAACAGAGGCATTGAGTTAAATACAGTCATGGAACAAACTGAACAGTCAAACTCCCTCCAGTTTTCTGTATAATTTTAAACCAGAGGCCCATTTCAACCATCTACTAGTGGTAGTACATTATATACAAATGGTCAGAAGAACCAAACAATAATTTGGTAGTATAGTCTATGGAACTACCAGATTTAAGTATTTAAATATTCTCACGTCATCGCCATTCCTAGTGCTTGTACACACAAATATTCAGTCTTGTTCTTGTCTTTGATTTGACTGCTTAGATTAGACAAATTTAGCTGAAAGCCAACAAGGATACCCAACGGATCATCACGGCCTTGCCGTTTTGGTCCATTTGATCAACCTTTGTTGTTATTTTTCATTTTATTTTCAGTTGTTACAGACTGGGCAGACATGGCTGGGGGATAGGAAAGGGAGAGGTCTATATTTCTACAGGTTTTTAAATTGTATTCTAGAACACCTTAGACTGCTGACACCGTCATTACACCAGCATTTGTTTATCCCTAGAGCTACATTTAATGAGACTACTAGGCCAAACCCTAAAATAATTTCACATTATTTTGACAAGAATTTTATAAAGAATTACAATAGTAAAATGTGGAACTTTTGCAGGTTCTGGTTAGAGTGACCCTAAAGCATGTAGCAGAGCAGAGCAAGTACTACTGCCACCAGCTGCACTCCAACACAGTGGCGTTCAAGTCTGCTGAACTACAGGATGAGAGACTAGGGATTACCACAACAACTACTGTATAACATTTCCAAACTGTAATACAATAATATCTAATGAAGGAAAAGTGTAAATGTAATGTGTGCTACAACAGTAATTAAAATTATATTATAGAAAGAGTAATATATACAAATAACATTACATGATGTACTATTGGGGGCTTAATATAAACCTAGCCTGTGTTTTGGTGCCCGTTAAAATGAACTTTGTGTCATCTTTGTGTCAACTTTTGAGCAAATTGTGACCATCATCAAGCAAACCAACCGAAGACGATGAAGGGCACAGTTTCAATAGTAGTGAAACATATTTTCCATACCTTTTCTGTTGAAGTCATCGTTTCCTCTGTGGTGGCTAAACTGAGCCTAAATGACTCAAAAATGTTGCTCTGCTGCTTCGTCAGACTCTTCTCCACTTGCTAACCAGCAGGGACACAAACAGATCTGGTGGCGTTTCAGTATCGAGGCATGTAAAAAATAAAAATACGAAAATATTTCAAACATGCTTATTCTACAGAACAGACTTTAGACCCACCTACTATCCAATCACAGGTCTCAGTGATCTTCTACAGATTTTGACCATCATCAGAGAATTTATTGGTCTGTAGGCAGTGTTTCATGCTTATTTGCCCCCAAACTTGAACATAAATTGCTTTGAGCCAGTTAGTGACAGTATGCCAGCGTAACCCAGTAACGGGTGAACCACTCTTATGACACAGAAAACTTGGGTTTTTTAAAAACCTAACAACAATAAAAATCTTGCCTTTTAGTGCAGACTTCTGGAGAAGGCATGTATTCCTGTTGGATGCTGCGTTTTTAAGGACCAGTCATGATGATGACCACATGCTTCGCCATAACAGAGTGAACTCTCTGTAACTAAGACCCAAATAGATTCTGGCACATTCAGAAGTTCTTACATTGTCAGGGCTCAGCAAGGCATAAGTCAAAGCACAGGACTCACAGGGATACAGAATAAACACAAACTAACCTTTATTTGGGTTATCCACTCAAGTCCACAATGCAAGGAAAACGAAGAGCAACAGAATCTCAGGAAGCATAAACTAACATGTTAACTAAAAAGATATGAGACAGGGCTACAAATACTCTCTCACACACTCAGGGCTAATTGGGAACTGGACACAGCTGAACATAATTAAGGAAAATGACAGACAGAACTTTGAATCCTGACTCAAGTAAGGCTTGAGGTAGTCCTAGTGCCTGGACTAAAGAATAAACCTAAAACCTTCTTATGATGAGTTCACATTAATCCTACTCAATTAGACCAAAATTATTTAACCCTGTGATGGACTCGGGGTGGGCAGATACCGTGTAGGTGACCCTGAACTGGAACTGAACTGAAAGTTAAAACTGAGATATACAATGATTATTGTCAAAAGAGGCACATTTGTGGAATTTCTGAGTAAATAAATCACATACAAGAACATCACACATGACATTAAAAATCTAAACTTCCCACTCGACACAATTTAAGATAAAAAAAAAAGTGATTTAGCTACTGGGAAAAAGGATGCTTTCATGGGTTTAAAAATAAAAATATATATGTTAAAAGATTATTTTGTGACCCAGAAAGATTAATAAGAGTAATATTAAAACTTAGTAGTGGCCGCCGTTGTTGGAAACTGGAATTGGCTGGGCCGTGCTATGAATTCTGGAATATGGTGGACCACAAAGGACACAACGACCCATCCTTCAAATCTGGGGAAAAAAACAGGACACATTTGTCGGGCGGATTCGTAGGCTGGACACAGCTTATGTACCTTGATAGTTATGTATCAAATGTTTAAAAATGTTTGTTTGCATGTTCCTATGTACAGGCCCTGGAACAGCACCTTCTTAATGCTACAGCGCTACCTGATGAGAGGCAGACAGCTCAAGGACTTCGGGCATTCAATTCAATTCAATTTTATTTATATAGCGCCAAATCACAACAAAAGTCGCCTCAAGGCGCTACATAGGTACAGAGAAAAACCCAACAATCATATGACCCCCTATGAGCAAGCACTTTGATGACAGTGGGAAGGAAAAACTCCCTTTTAACAGGAAGAAACTTCCAGCAGAACCAGGCTCAGGGAGGGGCGGGGCCATCTGCTGCGACCGGTTGGGGTGAGAGAAGGAAAACAGGATAAAGACATGCTGTGGAAGAGAGACAGAGGTTAATAACAGATATGATTCAATGCAGAGAGGTCTGTTAACACATACGGCATCACTCAGAACAGAAGTTAATCTTCTCTCTTCCAAGGACCATGAAAAATAGCATCTTATTTAGCATTGCTCAACCCATTTTACATGGTAACAGTGGAAATGTTCCAGCAGAAGAGAGTCACGGAGACATAGATAGACAGATAGATCTTTATTAAGATGGCCATAATGGGCAATACCACCAACATGACAGCAGAACTGATGGGAGAGAACATGTCCAAGCAATTCCTTACATTTGTTTGTGGTAGCAAAGCAACACCAAGCCTCATCAGTGCCATGAAGAAACTGTCAGCAAAAAATGAAGCAATTCTAAAAAGAGGAAAAAATATTTTTTAATAAAAACTAAATGTTCGGCACCTCATCCCTTCTCACACCCTGCCCTAGTTACATGAGCACACCATACCATCCCAGCACATCCTTCCTTCAGCTACAGTACGTACATTTACAGAATCAACTGACCAGTAAATCCATCTTTACACAAGTATATTTGTATCTTTTGCACAACCCCCAGTTATGCTTAGTACATGATTATTTAGACTTTTTTTCCCCACTGTTTCCCATTTCGCCACTAGATGCGCTGAAACAAAGCATTGAATTAATGAACCCATTTTCAGTTCAGTTGATGAAATGGTTCTTTGCTTCATTTGCACATCACTATCCTATACCACTGTGTTGCCTAGATTGGTGGCACTGGGAATTCAACAGACAGTAAAAGAAAAAGACACAATAGAGTTAGTAACACAATCATCTTTATCACCTCTTTGCTAGACCGAAGTCTAACTGCGGTATAGATCATCTTATGAAATCCTTCTGAAGCTTCGTGTTTAAATGAATGTCAAAGAGCCTAGTCACATTCAGCTTCTTAAAAATTGCTATTAATGCCTTGTTCCTTTCTTGAACATAGACCTGACATTCTAATAGTACATGCTGAACAGGTTCCAGTTCACTGCAGGGCAAATAATAGTGCCGAAGGATTTTGATCTCCATTGCCGTTTACCTTATACACCTCAGATTTCTAGTAGAAAGCAGAAACATGCCACCTGTAAATGTTTATCTAATGACACTGCAGTGATTGGGTGTATTAAGAGTGGGAATATATCTATTTGTCTATTTATCAAGCCATGATGGTTACTGGTTATTAAACACCAAAAGCATCCATGGAAGTACTGAGACTAAACACTACTTTTTGTAGGGGGATAAGTGTTAAAATTCCTTTTAAAACACACACGCACACACACAAACTAATGTAAATATTTATACTTGTGCCTTCCTTCCTAACATTCAGGTTTATTCACTGCAGGTCCAGATATCAGAGCTACCGCATCAGATCCAAGTGTGTCATCAGCTGACACTTTTTACAGCAGATTCCAGCTGAACTCTGTGGAGCCTGATCTCAAGGTTTTGAAGTCTGACCCTGAAACCAGAAGAGGATCTTCAGATTGATTGTGATACAGTGATTTCAGTCCTGCGTGATCACGCTGATGTTTGCACAGAGCAGAAAATGAAGTGAATGTTTTTGCACATTGGTAACAGTGAAACAGTTTATTTACAGCGTGGGATTGTTTATGTTCGGAGTATGAACCGAGATTCCTGAAGCTCTTGTCACAGCTGAAGTTCTCTTCCGTGTGTACCTTCATGAAGGTTACGACTACTTGATTGTGTGAAACATTTCTCACAATGTCTGCACTTGTATGGTTTCTCTCCTGTGTGGACTCGTTTATGTCTTTTAAGATCATCTGCAGTGAAAAATGATGACCCACACTGGTCACAGATGTTCTTTTTGACCCCACCGTGAATGAATTCATGGCGCTTTAATTCACTTGGAGTGGGGAAGCCTCTCCCACATTCTTTGCAGAAGCTCATTTTGTCTCCAGTGTGTCTACGTTGATGTATTGTAAGGTTCCACTGATGACTGAAAGTTTTTCCACAAAGGTCACAACAAAAGTCTTTCCCACCACCACAGTGACGACAGGGTCGAGAACTGGATCCATCTGTGTTGCTCTGCTTCTAAACAAAGATACAAAGAGTGTAAGTCAGGGAATTCCTTCAACATTTTTATCCTGAACGTCGCCTCAGATAAAGAGCATTTCTGCCAATATCCAATTACATTTTACTGTTTACATTATAACACTCAGCTCACTGGGCTACAATAAATGTCTTTGATGTAGAGGAACAGCAACAAGCACTGGTACCCTGTCTGCAGACATCCTTTCACCATACTATGAGGACATGTAAATAAAACTTACAGACCATTAAAAAGAATTTGATTTTGAGGGGGTCAGGTGGGATGCACTGATTGGTTTTAGTTAGATGACCCTCCTGTTGTTCAGTCAGTGAATACAAGTAAAATGGACTGGTTCTTACAGAGCACTTTTCTACTCTGTCTGAGCGCTCAAAGTGCTTTATGCAACATACCTCATTCACACTGTTAGATCCCAGTTACCCCTGTACAGGTGGTCTGGACAGCTCTCCATCCTTTGGATCAGAGTCGCTTACTCCCTACGGGTATTATCCTGATAGGTGAAGTTGAGACTAGTTTAAGCCGGCGGCGAGGAGATACGCTCAGCCTTCCTAACTGCCTTCATCTAAGTGCCCGCCCTGCACTTCCTTTGACTCTATGCTCTCATTTGCAACCTTAATGAAACATATTTGTCAGCCACACTTATTAACAGCAGCTCTCCTCTAATGATCTATGGCACTTGTTATTGTGCTGAGTAAAATTTAGTGACCTGGACAGTAGATCCCAAGGACGTGTTATAATGATTTACTAGAATAACCTATAAGAACCCTAAATCTGATGTTATGAGTTAACACACATAAAGTCTTACCATTTACTGTTTTAAGAAGGTAATAGAATCAATGTCCACAATTCTGACTTTGAATTAAGATAAATAATTTTTATTAAAGCAAGATTTCAGCAGGCGTTAGCAAACAGCTTAATTGCAATTTAATCAATCAAATCCAAATAATCAATTTATCACACTATAAACTAACTATTTTGTTGCTGAGTGACTACAACCGTTGTTGAGGTGTGTCTTCTTTTAGGAGGGAAGGAGGATCATCGTGCGCACTGATAGAATCCAGTTTCCAGTACAAGGCTCCCCGACTTCACCTTCTTGACTCTGATCCTAACTCAGCATACGATGAGTACGCAGTTTAAAATTCATAATCCAATCAATCGATCCACAGTGAAGGGCTATGACTTCTCCTCTGTTGTCCCTCTCTGTAAGTCTTTTCACCGCAGATCTTCAGTCTTCTCGTATCCTACTTACCGGCTCGGGACTAGAAGAAAAAGCCCCTCTCTGCTTTTGCCTCCCATCTTTAACACCTCTACGGACACCATATAATACAGATAGTTTTTCTATACTTGAGGAATTTCTAGGGCAGTGGTTCTTAACCTGGGTTTGATCGAACCCTACGGGTTCGGTGAGTCTGTTTCAGGGTTTCGGTAAAGCCTCCGCCGTGACATGCACGGCTCATCTATGTCTTGAATTTGAAAAAAAAAATTGTATTTTATTTTTCGCTAAAGAGGTGCATATGGAACTGGTAGCGTTCGGTACCTCCAACAAGGTTAAGAACCACTGTTCAAGGGTGACTGTAGCTCAGAAGGTAGAGCAGGTCATCTACTTCAGCGGTTCCCAGCCTTTTTTGTGCCACGGACTGTTTGATGTCTGTGTATATTTTCACGAATCGGCCTTCAAGGAGGGGAGGATAAATGCAACAAAATAAAACCAGTACCCAAAAAAAAACGGGAAAAGACCCAGGGAAACCCAGTTAACGATAAAAATGATTAGTGGCGACTGCTGATCTACATAATCCACTCTGCATGTCACAAGATACTAACCCCAAGCTGTTCTCCGATGGAT